ATGGAGAAGTGTCTCTCTCCGTCACTTCGCTGTTCTCCTTGGTTTTTTACGCGTGCAGCAGAAACTTTCCGGAGGCCCCTCTCAGGGTCAACGGCCACCGAGCGGTCCAGCAGACAAAGGGACACTGACTTCGCGGCGATTCTCTCCCGACCCCGGTTTAATTGGTTCGCGTTACGCTTGTCCGGGGAAGGCTTCTCCGCGTAAGCTTCCGTCGCGAAGTCCTCGCTCGAGAATTGTTTTCATCGAGTCTCTCGGCCCCTCTTTCTTGTTTAATGTTCGACTCTGAAATTCCGGAGCGGGATTCTCGCAGGAACGATCGCTCTCGCTCCGCTACGAACCCGGCGTCTCGTGTTTATTCCTTCGTGACCTTGAGCATTCCCGTCGCGCGAGCAACACCGGCTTCGCCTGGACACTATAATCCATCGACGTTGACACAAGATTAGCTCTATTCGCGGAATACCGATAGCGAAGGCCCGCGAGATTCAATTTTCGCATCGATAACGACAACATGAACGAAAACGAAACACCGGTAAAACCGACGGAGCACGGAAATTCACCGAGAGTCTCGTTGCGGTCGCACGCGCGAACGGCATACCGAACGTCAGTGTTTCCTTCTCCTTTTTCTCTTCTCGGTCTCGCCCTCCCTCTCTCTTTCCCTTTTTCGCTCTCACGGCACGAGTTTCGCGATGGAAGATGGGAGTCGCGTTCGTTTCGCACGCGAATGACAGAAAGGAACGAGGAGCAGGGGGCAGAAGGAGAAGCGACGGGCCACCGGATCGTTCGTAGCCCGGGTTCGATGGAACCGCCGCCGATAACCTTGAAAACCCAACCGAAAAGGAGCAGAGAAGGCCCGGCCACACGGCGGGGAGCACGCGGCCCGGTTTCGAAGTTGTGCGACCGAATGAAAGAACTTTTGCGCCTCCAGAGCCTCGCGGTCGCTTTTGTCGCGCGTGGTCTTTCTTTTTCACTGGTGCGTGTGCGTGTCTCACTGGCTCACGAGGAACATGTCGACAGCGTGCAGCGTGCAACAGCGACGGCGACTCGGGCAAACGATTCACGGGGACAGACTTGAAATTTAGCCTCACTGAACCTCACATTGCTCGTAAATCACAAGAAACAAAGCGTCATCGGGTGGCTAACGCGACACGCGAATCGCGGCCCCACGGCACAACACTACCGCGACGCGGCACACGGCTCGACTGACACGAGGTCTTCGCCAGAGGGAGCTCCACTCGTCTCTCCTCTTCGTGCCGTTCCGTACCCCCTCCCTCTTCGCCGCCCTTCTCCAGGAACCACCGCCGCGAGAGAGCCGATCGGCATTCCCCACCACGAGACCTGTTCCTCCCCACCGAACGGTGCCGAAGCTACTTTGGTCCGGCGAGATCCTGTTGATGCACTCCTACGCCAGGATGCAACAGCAGTGTCCTTCGTTCCTCTCCTTCTTTATCTCTTTGTCCTTATGGATGGTATTTTGACAGTCTCTCTCGGTCTTGCCGGCGGTGTCTCTGCCTTCGCCTTGGTCTCTCGTCTGTCCTTTTCCCCTATGTCCCCTCTTCCAGAAGAAGTTCGACAGAAGCAGATTATACTGTTTACGAAATGGTAGAGCTGTTTCCGTAAAAGAAAGCTGTTTTTAGATTCGCGTATTGTTCGAGAAATTTTATTCGCGGTAATGGACGATCACCGAGATCAGTTTTCTTCGAACGCTGCTGGTTTTTATTCGTTGTTATTGTTGATTCGTTGAAGTCGTGAAATGATACAGACGATAAAGGGAATAGATATTCGGAGAAAGGATTTATTCGGACGAGAACTCGTTTGGCTGTCTTTATTATTTATTTATTATTTGAGTTGATTGTGGTAGGTTTTGTGTGTCTTCTGAAGTTCACGAACTGTTAGGTTGGTATTACCTTTTGCTGCTTCATTGTTGTATCGGCAAAAGGAACTGTTTGATTTTAACGAGCCTGTTGAACGGATAGAGCGGTTAGTTGATTTTAAGTAGCGATGTTCGAATAGTGCACACAGCCAGAACGCTTTACACTAGCCTGAAGGAGAGTTACTATCGATGATTATCTACGAGCATCGCAATCAGAGCCTTTGGTAGACCCGTGGCATTTATAAATGAACGCCCAACAGAAATAGTCCACGGTTTACGACTCACTAGAGCAATAATTTGTAACACCTAGCTGTTCAAGGGGTTTGTACACTATCCGCGTAACAATTACGTTGTTATAAACTGAAACGAAATTAAATTATATTGTACGTAGAATGTACAACGTACAACTCTCTTTGCACTGTATAACGAAACCGAATTTCCTATGTGATTGGCAGTAGAAATATCTAAAATTTGTATAATATATTATTCGTGATCAAGTTACACTCATCACCGATACGACTGAAATTATACACATTTCAGATATGCTATTAAACGTATTGGTATCACAAATGAATTACAATTTTCAGTAATCATTACGGTAATGATTCATTGATACTGTCATCAGTGAATAAAATAGGTTTTTAACAGAATATTTTTTACTTATAATTTAATAGTTCTGAAAAGAAAACAGTTCATTAACGTTGAAGAACGATTTTAATTAAATAAAGTAAATTATGATCCTCCATATAATAGTCACTTTATAAATTTTTAAGAAAAGCAGTTCTTAATTCCTTATAACGCTTCAAGTATGTAGGTATATAAATCTACGCACACGTGCAAAACATTACCGTATAATTAAACTTTTCATTTCTGACTTTCAATGTAAAGTAATTCTCGTTTCATAATTTATTATATTAACTTAAAAATATTCATCCACTAATTACGGAAAATATTTTTCACAAATTATATAAACAAACACCATTAAAGATTTTTCTCTTAAAATTGATCCAATGATTGTTACTCTAGTAATATATTTTTGTACGATTGACAAGCATACGACAAGCTATTAAAGAATGTTCTGACGTCCTAATACAGACGAAATGTTGGTACATTCGATGTTCATGTTGTTCCTAATTTGGATGCCAAAATTCGTACATAAGATCGCGATCAAGGGGTAACGAGCAATGCTGGCCGCGAAGCGGAACTTTCCTGCTATTATCATCGGTATTTATGTGAGTAAAGGTGGAATTAATTGAATGATCCACACGGACGTCCTGTGACGCCAAAGCAGAGAATGACAAGTAGCTCTCAATAACGTGATATGACATCGCGTGCCATGGACACGAAGGACCCCCTCAACGCAACCCTCGCTATTTCCTCGCTTTGGTCGAGTAATTTGCTTTTGGGCCGGAGATGAGATCGAAAGGCGAGTCACCTGCCAATATATTAACTCGTTTCCGCAGCACGGGAAATTATTACGACGCGGACAATGGATTTCCTTGGTGTGACACCTTTGATATGCATGCTTACTCAATCATGATGTCAACTAATCTGTCAGATTTTAATCTCGGCTTGAAAATATGTACGCGCGAAACGTGCACAGTTAGGCCCACTTTTCACGAGTCTCGCGCCGGCAGCAGAACTTTCGTGTGGAGATAAATGAAAAGTACGGAGGAGATTGTTTTACTCTGAAATATTATTTGCTTGAAATTTACATATTAAATTTTAACCTGCAATTTTTTTATTCATTATAAATTCTGAAACAGATATTAGTGGAATTAAACCGTGTTTCTGAAGAACATCTCGTAATTATTCAGAATCGTTCGCTTTAGAATCAAATGTTGTTTCATTAAGACAGGCTTC